CCCCTCCAGGGATGGTGACCCCCCCCCCGCCCTGGCCAGCCTCTTCCAGTGCTTGACAATCCTTTGGGGGAAGAAATTTTCCCTGATACCCAATCTAAACCTCCCCTGGCACAACTTGAGGCCATTTCCTCATGTTCTATCGCTTGTTCCTTGGGAGAAGAGACCGACCCCACCTGGCTACACCCTCCTTCCAGGGAGTTGTAGAGAGCGATCAGGTCTCCCCTCAGCCTCCTCTTCTCCAGGCTAAACCCCCCCAGTTCCCTCAGCCGCTCCTCATCACACTTGTGCTCCAGAGCCTTCGTTGCCCGTCCCTGGACACGCTCCAGCACCTCAATGTCCTTCTTGGAGTGGGGGGCCCACAACTGCACCCAGCACTCGAGGTGCGGCCTCACCAGAGCCCAGCACAGGGGAACAGTCGCTGCCCTGGTCCTGCTGGCCACACTGTTGCTGGTACAAGCCAGGATGCTGTTGGCCTTCTTGGCCACCTGGGCACACCGCTGGCTCACATTCAGCCGTTGTCGACCAGCACCCCCAGGTCCTTTTCCGCCGGGCAGTTTCCAGCCACTCTGCCCCCAGCCTGGAGCGCTGCCAGGGCTTGGTGTGACCCAAGGGCAGGACCCGGCACGGAGCAGGGTCAAGTTCAACAGTCACGGTGGGGATCAAAAGGGCTGAACTGCAGCCGGTTGGGTGGGCTGGCCGGGGGCAGAGCCACGCGTCCCTGTCCTGCTGGCGTGGTCCCCCCAACTTGGTGTCATCTGTGAACTTACCGAGGAGGCACTCCATCCCCTGAACTTGGTTCTCTCAGTTCCGGTGGAAGTGTATTTGCTTTTGTGTGTTTGGTTTTAACATCCAATTGCAAAATAAACACATCACGCACCACATTTAATAGGCTTGTGAATCCATTTTTATTTAATTTTTTTTAGTAAAGGTGCATATAAACTTTGAACAAAAAAATTTTAGTAACTACAACTAGCTAACTACATTTTAGTTTCTGCATTGTGGCCCTAGTGATGAAAATTTTGCATTGTGTTTGTAAAATGACAGCAGTGTTCTCCATTGCTGCTCACAGCAGGCTGCAGATGTTTGCCGGTAGTGTTGTTCCCTGGGTCCGCTGAGAAAAAAATTGAGAAAGAAGAAACTCGAGCTCTTGGAAAGACAAGTGCTGCACTTACTGTTCAGTAGGAGTGAAGGAATGAACAAAAGTCAGAACAGTTCAGTACAGACTTCCTCAGGCTTGAGTCTTACCTTGGCAGTGTTGACGTGTTCTTCTCGTCTCTTTTTTTCCCTCTAGCTGTTCCAGAAGTGCTGCCTGGTGCAAAGGATACTGGACGCCTGGGAGGCCAATGACAAAATACAGTAAGGGGTTTGGGGTTCAGAAGGCCCTTGTTCTAGGGCTGCACATGGAGAATATCCCCTGGAAACAGTCTTTGGATCATTTACAATTTAGTGGTGTCTAAAATTATTTGGATTTCGATTGTGATTTGGAATGAGGATTATTTGCATGTTAAAAAGCAAATTCACCAAATAGACATATAATTTGAAAGCATGACTTTTTAAAAAAATGCTTATAATATCTCAATCCAAATACACAATATGGTTCTTTCTTGCTTTCTCAGGAAATTCCGTAGCATATTAATTACATAGAATATTAACTTTTTTCTTTTTTTTAAATGCATAATTATATTCTCCCTAGAGTGAGCAGCTATGGAAACTGAGGTGGGCAAGCATTTTTGCCCCAGATTTGCCCCACATTTAATATTCTAACTTCATAAAGTATTTGGATTTCATGCTGATGGCAATAAGAACTAAATAATTAAAAAACCCCTAAAACATATTAAAGTGAAAATATTGTCTAGGCTTCTGTTTCTTTGTCCATCTAAACGTCCATCCCTCACTATTTTGAGCTCTTCATGGCTTCAAAGCGCTTTGTAGTCTCACTGTAATTACTTTAGGCTTGCTGTCAGGCCGTAATTGGTGGGTTGGGGTTTGGGTTGATTTTTTGGTTTGGTTGGGTTTTGTTGGGTTTTGTGTTTTTTTTCTCTTGTAACCCCTTGGGCTGTTGATAACAAACTTTGCTGATAGTTTTATTGCACAACTATCATTGCGCACAGTTTTGTAGGTAACAAATATCCGTGGTTGCTGCTCAAGAGTTTTCCTAATTAAATTAGATAGGAACTAGAGCTCATACATATTTCATGCCAAACAGTTCCAGTCACCACATTGGAAAGAATTTTAATGGCAAGAAAACAATAGTGAGTTAACAGAGAGGAATCTCAGATGGTGTGCTTTAGGAAGTTTGAGTTCCTATGAAGGTTATGGTATGCACTCCGTGAGGAGATGGTGGCGAGCAGTGGGACTCCAGCGTCAGAGGTGCCAGGTTGAGAGTTTGGGGATTATTTCTTAAAAATTGTCAGCAAGAATGGTGGTAATATGTTTTCCTGTTGGGACATGGGATTTCTCCTTAGGTTCTCTTAGTTTTAGTTATTTCATATGTTCTTGATAAAGAACTTTATAACTACTAGAACTTCCAGTTAATCCATGTAGTTCTGGTACTGCAGTCCATTTGATCTGCCCAGGTAATTAGAATTTAAAATAAAGTGAGTCTGGTCATCAACGTGAGTTTATAGGAAAGAGCAGTTTACTGTAGCACATCTGTCTTTGCCTTCCTAGCCATGTAAATGTAGTGACCACCACTTGTGGCTGATAAAAATATTCAGAAGTGTTGAAATAAAAGTTAATTTTGTGTGTTTGCTGGCTGCATTCCAGCAGTGTGTTAAGGACCGCTCAACTCAGGAAAAATGTTGTCTTGGTCCTCCCAGAGTATACAACCGAAGACGACAGACACAACATTGCCGTACGCTGCTTTATCCCCATACAGTTTAAATTTTTGGGAAAGCGGAGCTTTGCGAGTTTGCTAGAAAACATACATTTTCCTAGAGAGTAGTGGGAGAGTGCTGGGTCCCTTCACCCCATCTACCCAGAGGTTTCATCCTCCGGAGCGCTGGCATGGGGCCCCGATAAAGCGCTGCTGTAACCTGTTGTGGGGTTCCCGCGGCCGTGGGGACATACTACAGATACAGGGTTTGTATTCTGGGTTTTGGTGTAGGAATACGTGGAGGGGTAAGGCAGGTTTTTCCCAAAGCGTCTAGTCTCCTCATGTGCCTCTGTTCAGCTCCAGCGTTCAGGGAAAGCCCGAGATAGTTTCAGTATAAACTTATCCTTCTTAGAGACTCAGGAGGTGATGAGTACACTTGTCAAGGGGTGTGAGGGTCGTAAAAAAAACCCAACTTAAAAATGTAGCTGTAACCCCATGTGATTAGGAGAGCTGATTGCGCCTGATGGCTCTCAGCCTAGGCTGCTACACCACGTCCCCCGAGCAAGGGTAGAGAAGAATTTCCAGGAGCACTGCATAGCAGCTCAAAACTAACTCTGATGCATTTAGTGTCTTCCTCTCTCCCAGGGGAAAGTGAAAGTCTTTACTATGCATTGGCTCTGTTAGCATTGCGGGAAGAAAGCTTTGTTTTACAGCTCAGACTCAGTAACATGAGGTGGAAACTTCTCGTCATCCTCTTTGTAAGGGGGTTCAGTTTGATTCTGACCCACCAATTTTATTTGTGGTGGCTTGAGTCAACCTTGCATGCTCCTTCTGCTACAGCAAGCAAGAATAATTTCTGAATTTGACTTCGGGATTTGGGATACTTTAATGTGCATAATGTCACAATGAATAATAGCGTTGTATGTAAGAGCTTTGTCCGGACTTCCCTTCAGCACCTGCCAGTTTCAAGGCAGAAATGCTTTTGTGATACAGCAAATTTATTCCAGGAATCTGCCACTAGGATTTACATTTTTCTTCCCAAATCTCATCAGTCCTTCGATACTGTGGAAAGCAGAATTATTTCAGGCTCTTCATCCCCTGATTTTTAGATTGCTGCTTTGCCATCCACTGAAGGAGAGCCAGTGAAGGTTCAGAGAAAAGTGACTTAGAGAGTGCTTGGACTTAGTGTTGGCCGCTTAGATTTTTTGTGAGGGGGAAATCTAATGCTTGTAGATTAGTGTCTTGTGTTCTCTTGAATTCATCTGCTAAATACTTCCATTGCAAGTAAAACTCCACAGCTTTTTCAGCAGTAATGATGTAAATTCTTACTGCTAAGAGTTTTCTTTAGTGGAAATTATAACCAGATTATTTATTTCTGCACTGGTCTTTCAATGTCCCCGATTAGCTTACTCTTTGTAACTGGCTTAAATTTTACCTAGTCCATTCATACTGGACGAGTGATCGCTTGCCTCTCAATATGTGAGAAAAATGCAGAAAGGATCGTTTGTTCTGGGTGAACTCATCCTGTGCCCTGCCTGCATGAGCAGAGCGCGTTCCTGCCGATTCTCTGCTGCATCATCTATCCTAATGCTGCTTGGAGGCAGGCGTACGTACGTCTGACTGTCACGGCAGTGGGGAACTCTCAGCGTGTCTGGGTTATGGCTGCGACCGATGATTCGTGGTGCCTGGTTCTGTTGCTACTGGCTGGTTTCTCTTTTCAGGGCAGAAGGTGGAATGAGGCGAGGCAATATGGGCCACCTCACCCGGATAGCCAATGCTGTCGTGCAGAATATGGAGAAGGGCCCCATGCAGACTCAAATTAGTGAGTTCATTAAAGGTACGTGCTCTTTCTTACATTCCTTTTTTTTTTACTCCTTGGTTAAATAACCCTTGCAGGCCTCTTGGAAAAACTTCTATTGCACGTATTTCGTGAGGGTCCCTTTTATAATGAAAAGAATTTCCAGATAAATATCACAGTTTCCCATAAGTTAAAAAAAAGGTCTAGACCAAATTTGGTTGCTCTTTGTTTTCATACAATTACATTGAAATTTCTGGAACTTCATTTTTAGAGCTGGAGGCCGAAGGTATCTTTTTTGTGCTAAAGAATGCTTCTTTTCATCCGGCTTTGTGTGTATGTTTGTAGTGCTTATTTACAGCCCTCCAGGGTGGTGTTTCTGCATGTCCTTATTCTGGTACCTGTCTGAGCGGACGGGATACCCCAGAGTAAACGATCCCAGAGACCCTACGTCTCTGCTTTGTCGGGGACATTCACATCGCCAGGCTGTGTCCATCAGGTCTTCATCGGACTTTATTTGGAGAACTAGTTCTGTCTGACATCTTTGTGTGAGAGGAAGTAAGATTCACCTGCATTTATTAAGAGAAACAGTGAGCACAAATGTGACTTGAGTTTCCATTTTTGGCATCTAACGAACATGCCCAAATGGTAATATAGTAACTTGGTGTGTTGTCACATCTACGTGGAAATTGAGAAGTCAGAAACGTTTTAGTAAAGACTGAAAGTTTCACAAGTCATGGTTATTTCTCCCCATTGTTTCACGGTACGGGATGCAGCTGGGATGAGGATAACTTCATTGAGAGCAGCCGTGCAGTGCTGTGTTTCGGATTTGTGACTAGATGATGTTGGTAACACGCGACTCTGGTGGCTCTGGCTGAGCAGTGCATGCACAGCGCCAAGGCTTTCTCTTTTACCCACTCCGTGTGTCCCCCCAGGGACAGACGGACATGAAGCCGGAAGGTCACAGCCAGACAGCTGTCCTGCGCTGGCGGAAGGGCTGTTCCATGCCACGTGCCCAGCAGTAGGAGTGGGGGCATGGTCCTTCCAGGGTAGCTCCTGCTCGGAGGCTGGCTGAGCAGCCGTCTGCGGGTGGGCAGTGCTGAGCGAGTGCCTTCGCATCCCTTCATTTGGGGTGTTTTCCTCTTTGCTCCACTTACTAAACATTCTTCATCTCAAACCATGAGTTTTTCTCACTTTTGGCCTTCCAGTTCTCTCCCCATCCTGCTGTGGGGTGGAGTGAGTGAGCTGCTGGCTGGGTGCTGGCTGGGGTCAACCCACCACAGTCGCCATGAAAGAAAAGGAAGAAAAAAGCAGGACTTAAGTCACATATGTGCTGGGTTTCAGAAAGTTGTAGAAATTCTGTGTCTTTAGCCCACTGTAATTCCACGAGCCAGGTGAGGATGGTAAGACCAGTAATACCTTACTGGTTGGCCTAATGAAAGATGTTCCTTTCTCTGCAGATCTTGCCAACTTACCTTTTTTAGAAAATCACGAGTAAAATGTAATTCACTCTGCAGAGCACTTCCATAATGCAAGCATTACGTTGCTCATGTACACAGGTATATGTGTCTGTTCAAAAACATCTGGGTAACCAGTGAGACTAAGTGACTGGCTTTGATCCTTCTCCCAAGTTGTGGTAATCTTTATGGTGCCGGTTTTGTTCCAGAGCTACCTGAAGATTGCAGAGGGAGATGGGAGAGTTTTGTAGAAGAGACGCTGACGGAAACGAACAGGAGGAATACAGTGGATTTGGTGAGAACAGCGATATTGTGCCGATTTTGGATAGGCCTGCTATCTTCTGGAGTGCTTTAACTAAGAAAAAGAGATACTGCTAGATTTTTTTCTTCTTTTGCTTGTTTATATGACATAGGCTTACGGGGCAGGGTGTTTGCAGAAAACATATTCCAGAATAGTTCTTCAAGCAGCAGCAGCTCTGATACATGTTGGTCAACTCCAGTCCACAGTTCTGTGTTATTCACTGGGACAGTTTCTGCCTTCTGGGGAGTTTGGCCTTCAGTTGTATGTGTGGAATGGAAGTATTTGAGCTTTCTTAGATTTCACTTGTGCTTATTTTTTTGTGCTTTTTTCAGGTGAGCACTCACCATCTGCACTCTTCTAGTGAGGATGAAGACATTGAGAGTGCTTTTCCCAATGAACTTTCTCTCCAGCAGGTGAGTTGACAACATGCTCTTTGCTGTTCCTGGGAAGCCTCCTTCTCCGATTCACCCTTAATCCATTCTAGTATAGAGCAGCTTCCTAAATTTTTCTCTTAGTGTGTTCAGCTCTTTTGTGTTTTCCCACTATAGTTACTTATGTGGTCTAGACTCTGGTTTGGAATAAATTTGGCTCGGACTGCGTGCAAGTCCCAGATACATGATGTGTCTGATGTTCCTGTGAGACACCATATGTTTCTTTCTCTCTCCACACTGGGATGGTTGGCTGGTTCAGATCTTGCAGACCAGCTGCAGTGAGTTGCTGTATTTCCCAGCTGAGCAGGTAGTGTGTATCGCCTACCTGCTGCAGAACTGGAGCTGATAGAGGCGTCCTGCTTCCTCTTGGGCTGTGCAGACTTCTACTAAAAACTGAGAGTGCCATACTAAAATGTTAGCAGTAAAGAGCAGTAAACAGTAGCAGTAAGAGCAGTAAAAACCCTTGACTTAGGAAGGAATGGATGTAATTAAAGGCTCACTTGAATTTAGCAAAGATCTCAGGATCCTCAAAATGTGAGGTGTGAGGTACCCTGCTAAAGGTCCATCAAGTATGTGGAAGCTGCTTTTCAGGATGAAATACTTAGACAAGTCTTTCCAACCTTTTTTGATGCCAAGAGCATAAAGAACATTAACAGAGCATACAAGTTTCAACCTGTTCAGTAGGAAGCTACCTATGGGGAGTGAAAAGACAATCTCAGTCTCAAATCCAGTTAAGGGTAAAACTTAGCTGAAAATAGTTTATAGTTTGTCCAAATACTCTTAACTGGCCGCTCTGACATTACAAATAGCTTTCTTTTCTTCAGCTGATACTTAGCGCATCAAAAAAGAGAAAATGTATTGCCTTTGTAAAAATAAATAAATAGTTTTGTCTTCTATTGTGACAAGTATCAGTAGAAATATTGATAGGAGCCTGCAGAACTCCTTGGACAGGAACTTGCTGGCACCTGCAGTGGAGTGACGCCAAAGTGCAGCTGCAGAGACGCTGTAGCTGGAGTGGGCTGCATACCAGTATTCAGAATTATCCTCCAAATAATCTGAAAAAAAAAACCCCAAATGCAATGCATAAGAGCAAGCGTGAGATCTATTTGGAGGCAGAAGCAGTCCTTTTCATGAATAGAGAATAGGGCACGAGTGAGTAGGCAGGAATGTGACCAAGAGCATATCTGGGCCATTACCCCAAGATGCAAGCTGAAAACTGGAAGACCCAAACTGCTGTGGGAAACCAAAGGTGATAGGTGAGAGTGTTGTCTCCAGGACATGTGGAATGATTCTCACATTCTCCTCGGTCCGTGTCCAGCTGGAGGCAGTGAGCTTCAAGAGTGATATGTGTTGGCAAAAGGTAAGGTGGAGGGTAGTAATGGGAATGATCAGAGGTGCGGGACCTGACATGGGACGAAAAGCTGAAAGAACTTGGTCCGTTTGGTCAAGAGAAGACAATATTATGTGGAGACATATGCCTCATCCTACTCAGGATGAGGGAGAGGGACTCAGAGGAACTGAAAAGTACCTTCGTGATGTCCGTGCTGGGTTTAAATTGCAGCAAGGTAAACTTCATGCTGCGCTAGGGGAAATCAACCAAATGGAAACAACCCAATACAACGTTCTGATGGAATGATGAAGGCACACATGGTTTCCTAGGGAAAATTCCATAACTCTCTTTGGGAGAAGTTACGAGCAGATCACAGAAGCATCTGTCCAGGGTTTGCAGAAGACTGTTGGATCCTGCTTTGAGAAAGGGGGTTGGAGTAGGTGATTTCTCAAAGTGCATCAGTTTTCTATGATTGTAATGCTTTTTAGAATGTGTGTTTTCAGCCAGCTTAATTGAATATCTTTGTCACCTTAACGATGGCTCTTTTGGGGTTCCATTGCTCAGGCCTTCTCCGAGTACCAGATCCAGCAGATGACAGCTAACTTTGTGGATCAGTTTGGCTTTAATGATGAGGAGTTTGCAGACCAGGATGATAATATCAAGTAAGTTTATAAAACTTTGAGAGGCTTATATGTAGCATTTAAGCCTCTCTGCATCTAATCTTTCTTATTCTGGTTCAGGTTTTAAGAGGAACCGCGCTGTGTACCCCCTTTGGTTTGATACAAATAGACCGATTAGTGGCTGGGAAAACAGCTGACCTTTTTTCTTTTCATAGGAGTCCACCCCTCAGCTCCAAAGACAGTTGTAGAACCAAGGAAAAGTGCTTCTTCATTTTGAAGAGAAACGTTTTTAATAAAGCACACAATTATTATCCAGCCATATTCTAGAATTAATTTAATTGCACAGAAAGCAAAGCATTAGAGCTAACTCTAGGCAATTATACAGCTATTCTCCAGTGGCATTAAGTCCTTATTGAAATTCGGAGTAGAAAGAACAGTGTTCTGATGAAGTCCATGGAAAAATTGAGCCATTTTCTCTCTTACGAAAAAGGAAACATGGATAAGGCAGGAGCAAATAACAGTTCAAAGGCAGCAGATACAGGTGGATTTAATGTTACGTGACTTGCTGAATTCAGTGTTTGGAATTTGTGCCGTTTTTATAGAAGAACTACTGTAATTAATTAAAACTGCAGCTCATCTTCTCACCTTAAAAATTGTAGCTAAGGAAATGACTGGGACTGTAATTATCCCTCTTATCCATAACAGTTCAGAAATTGTAACCATTTAGTATACATTTATTGACAGAGGCTGTTATCCAGGAGGATACCAGTGTGTTTCCTGCTCGTTGATGTTGCCTGTTCACTTTCATCTTGTGGCAACACTCATCTCAATCAAAGGAATGGTCTGTCACACAGGGTGACAGGGAGAGAACGTGGCCGTACCAGCGGTGCGTGCTGTCCTGGGGCTGATGCTCATCAGCCAGCGAACGTTGGGTCTGCTCGGCAGAGAGCTGCAGGATCCTGGCGTCCTGGAATCCCGACAGAAACGGGGAGCTTTCAGCCCGGAAAGCTCGGGGCATGCCACATCGCTCCGGCTCTTTGGCTGCCCCACATCTGATTTATTGAGGATTCTTTTGCTGGTTCTGCTCACACCATATTTTTAGCAACTGCTGGGCTCCATGAAATTCCTTAACTGAAATGACGACGTGAAAATAGTTTGGCTGCTTCAGAGTTGCTTTCAAGCATGAATCAAAGTAGAGAGTCACAAGATCCTTGGGGTCGTGGGAACTCCATGAAGGTGTTTGCCAGATAGTTGGGAGCTGTATTCCGACGTGGAGAAAGATTTTTGAAGTTCAACTTTCCCATCTTTTTTTTCCTGAGCATTGTAGATGTCCAGATCTTTAATATTAAAGGTCAAAAAGTTCCAGACTAGAAGGAAAATTTAAGTGAACATGGATTACTTAGTTCTACACTTTTTTTAAAAATAAAGTACACTTTTAACTTCTTATCAGATAGCAGCAAGTAGTGAACTTCTGAGTGTGTAGGTGGAGGGGAAGAGGTAATTGATGTGTGGAGCTGCTGAAGGTACTAACGTCCGTTTTGAAAATTAACATGAAACCAAACAAAATCTGTAACTGAGATGTGCTGGCCTTCTCTGTTGTTAGAAAAGAAGAATATACTATAAACCTGTTCTGGTCTTGAATATTCTGAGAACGCTGCTCCCTGTCATCTGTTTTCCAGCGGTTGAGAAGTGTCGCAGATACGAATTTGAATATTTTCAGAAGTATTAATCACGTTTCAGTGTCCTGGTGATTTGCATGACAGCATTTTTTACTGAGCGAAATTGTCTTTAAAAGAAACTAAGACTGTTGAAACTCAGAGAAACACAGATAGGGTGAAAAAATGGTGCCTGGCCCCAGCTGTGTGGAGTTTTCTGGCCTGTAGCACCCTCTGCTGTTCTTACAGTAGACACTCAGGTCTAAATCAGAAATGAGGTTATTTAATGATTTTTTGCCGCAAACGTGTCTTAGGAATGCATCGGGGTTGTTGAGCCACTCGTGCACTAAGCTTCCCTGAAGCTGCCGTAATTCCGTTAAACCAGGCAGGTGCAGTCCCATCGGGATGTTTCGGATGTACACCCACCCTGTGGGATTCAGTTCCCTCTCTGTGTCTCGTCCCATGCTGGGGAACCCAGTGGAATTCTTGGGTGGATGTAGGACTGGAATCCCAGAGCTCCTCTTTTGAATTACTTAGGAGTTTGGATTTTTTCTGTAAGATTTGACTCAGCTGGAGAGAGCTGGCGAAAAAAAATTGAGATAGCCTTGATGCTCTGTAGGTACCATGAGAGTTGCAAAATAACAGCCAGACATGGCTGTGGTTGCCGTGAAGCTTCAAAATACCATATCAACAAGATAATGATAAGAGTTGTTCACTCAGGTATTGAATCAGACCTAAGAATGAAAATCCTACATATTTTTTAAAAAAAATTCAAAAATGCTAAATAATCTTCAAGGGACGAAGCCATTGTGTACGGAAGAGAATATTCAGGGAACAAACTCAGGAGGCATTGAGCGGTCATATGTGGTTAATTGTCCTCTGGGCTGGGGCTGCGAGAGCGCTCTGTTACTCCATGCCATCACTGAAGTTTCTTTCCCTTCTTTCGCAGTGCTCCCTTTGACAGGATCGCAGAGATCAACTTCAATATCGATGCTGATGATGACAGTGTAAGTGGGTATTTGGGGATATTTCTTTAACAGGACAGATTCTGGCAAGTTAGTTTGTGCTTGAATTAGCTGTTGTCATTTTGGAAGAAAAAAGGTTTGATCTGTTATTTTGGTAAATGAAAAACCGTATTGTAGCTAAATCCAGTTAAGGAACTCGGGGCATTATGTGGACCCTCGGAGAACCTCCCTACATTTTACTGTGCTGTTGAGAGTCTTCAGAAGTAGCACTCTGTACATCGGAGGAATCTTTCTCTCTGCAGTGGGAATCTATTGTCCTTATTTTCGCTTTGATAATCTTTCCATACACGGTCAAGGGAAAGAATGCGAACAGAGAGGATTGGGTTTCTGTGGGTCTGAATATTGCCATGCTGTGTCTTGCCTTTTCCATGTGATTGACCTAAATCGGTTCTCATTGAGGAAGCTGGACAGTGGCTCAGAGGTGATTGCAAGCTCATCTCTGGCCTTTTAGTCAATACTAAGTCTTAGGTCCCTTAGTCTTAAAATACTTTCTTTTTCACTTCAGTAGTACTATGAAGAGTATTTTATTTTTTCTCTTTCTTCTGGCTGCTCTAGACAGTGCTCTATAGATATAGAAAATTTCCTTTGGAATCTGCCAGCTCAGTCTGCAGCCACCAAGAGCTGTTTATGTGCTTATCTGAACTTCTTTTCCCAAGTAGACAGTTTTTGTCCTAATGCAGCTGTTGGACTGTGCACCAACTGGAAGTCACCACTTAGTCTTACTCGAGAGATCCCAGAACGCTCAGTGGGCAGATCGGTTGTGTATTTACAGCTACCTCATTTTACCACTGCCAGAACGTTGCTTGTTGTGCAGCTTGGGATGTAAAATGAAATAAATGCAAACACCTTCATGGTATTGGTTGTGTACAAATGCTGTTCTGTCAACTTCTTCATCACTGAACTTCTTGTTTCTGTCTCCAAAGAAGAAATTGAACTTGATTTCTTTGTAATACTGTTTTAGCCCAATGCTTCCCTCTTTGAAGCCTGCTGCAATGAGCGGATCCAACAATTTGATGATAATGAGGAGGAAGAAGATATCTGGGAAGAGAAGGAGATAACCTATGCAACCCAAGTTAAATCAAGAACACGGTAAGGTGAAAACAAAAGATCAGTTTTTTTAAAAAAATATTTTTTCCCCCTAAATGCTATGAAACTGTACGTTTCAGTTAAGTACATGCTTAATTTTTATTATTTATGTGCTGTGAGGCCTTTTTCTGACATAAACAAGGGTGCTTTCCATGTCACACTTCTGCAAAGATAGATGGTGGTTTGTCTTGAATGTGAGACAAAGATCCCATTTGAGGGAATGCAGTAATGATGGAAACACCCAACTACTGAGTCTGTTATCAAAGATACTAAAAAAAAAAACCCCACTCAGTTTGAAATACTTAGAACTTAGTCCTTTCCTCATATTTGGAGAGGAGGAGGTTGAAAGAATTGTAAGACTGAGGATAGTGGACAGAATATTCTTTTCCAGAATGTCAAGAGAAGAAAAGTTCTGTTTTGCCTGAGAAGGAGTGACCTCCCGTGGTGCATCTGTGGCACTGCAAATCACTTACAGTTTGTCATCCCTTTCAATAAAGTTACTCCTCTAATTCAAAGTCTGAAAACATGATCAAATGAGACAGGAAAAACGGCCAAGACCTTTGTGTTTATCTACCTAGCATCGACAAACTGATGGCCTTGTTCCTGCGCGGAATTGATACCACACTGGTGTTCCCCTCGTTGGCCGCTGGTCTGTCTGCTCATGTCCAGCTCCAGCCCTGAATATGTCACTGCAGCGTATTTCCCATGACAACTCTGCAGATGCGTTTTGGCAAGTACGGCACTTGGGGACGTCAGTGGAGGTATCTAGAGCCGCGCCTGCCATCGCCTGCCTGCGCTTCGTATCTTTGGGGGAAATAAGCCCTGTAAAAGGCATTCCCAATTCCCAGTTTGTGTGTTCTCCCTGGGGCAGGGAGGAAGCAGGAGAGGAATGAACTGGCCACTGTGAGAGCTTTTCTAATTCTGAGTTCTGCAATTTAGATTTGGAGCATCTCAGACCTCAGAGAGTTCATCAAAAAGCGATCTTGAGAATGGAGATCATGATGGTAGTGTGGACTCCGAAGAAGAGGAGGAAACAGAACAGCAGCCACCTCCTTCCTCAGCAAACAACAACAAGAATAATATTTCTGAGCAGAAAGACTCTGACTCCTCTGAAGGTAAAGAGTTTAAAACAGCACCATCCATTTGAAACGCGATCCGTAACGTCCCTGCAGAATAGCGGTTTGCACATTGCCAGGTTTCTGCGGCTATTCTGTAATCCACCTGTGCGGACGAGAAGCGTGCGTTTCAGTCGTCATGCTTTGCCTCTGAGATATTAGCGAGATTGAGCCCTGCCCAGCTTCTTCAGAATAGCAGTGTGGTGCTTCAGTTATGCTAAGCCACAGGTACAAGTACAGTAACTCTACTAGCTCTTTCAGGGCAAATACTAAAGAACGAAATATTAGTGGACAATTATGACATTAACTCCTTATATGATAAGAGTTTTATTCAGACCCTTGCCAAGTATCTCCACACTCCATGTCTCTGCCTTTTCCCCCTCAGTGCCTTTCTAGATTTAGTTAGCATGAGGTAAACCCGTTCTTCCAGTGCCTGGAGGAGGACTGCAGCAGTGCACGGTTTTCCCAGACCACGGTGCAAATAGTGCTGTGTAAGTTCATGAGACACGCAGGGTGGTCAGCAGAACAAATTCAGTCAGCTGAAACAAAGGAACAGAAGTGTTTTCCCAAACATTCATTTCTTGTTTGGTGCGCACATTTTCAGTTGTAAAATGTTACTTTTTCTAGGTGATGTCTTTGTATTGTAACCATGAGCATAATGCGGATTTATTCTAGTAACCAGCTCTCTGCACTCGTTTGGTACTGTCAGGTATTTTCAATTCTTATTAGGAAGAGCCAGTATAAACAACACGAACGGCACCCTGGGGGTAGTGTACATCAGTTTAGTTCCCTTCTAGAGACTTTAGTTCAAATTTTGATTCAATTTTTGAGTGAGCATAGCCTTGGTGGATCTCTCCTACTCTTTGTTTCGTTGCATGCAGATCAGTTTGCACAACAGACCTCTGCAATCCTTTCTCTCTCTTGAGAGAAGGTAACGAAAATGCTTTTTAAAAATTTGTAATTTATAGGAATAGAAGTGTGTTCTAATGAAAAGGAGTAGGCTGGGACTGTAAAAAACAAATTATCTTAGTTTTGCTCAAGATCACTTCTGTGATCTTAAACGTTTGAATCCGTACGTCAGTTCCTTACCTGTGATTGCCAAAACTGAACAGTTTGTGATTGAAATGGTTGCAAGCCGTGCCACTTAGCCTTTGGCAGGAGACTGAGGTACTTGGCGCTCAGCTGAAACTCACTGGCCCAAAGAATGAAGACATTTGTAATGTCACTTTTCTTGACTGATGCTTCTCTCTTGTGGATAACACTAGTATTTATCGAAGAGGGATTTTCAAGCCGGTTGTCTATAACCTGCGAGACAGGCAGCTTCCTGTAGGTGTCGAAGGAGTGCTGTCAGGTGGTCTGTCTGGTTTTGGTCTCTGGGATCCCTTTGAACATTTCTGGGATGGTGAAAACTCATAGGAATTCCAGTCCGTTGTTCGGTGTCTCCAGGGTCGGGATGGACAGCCGTGTTCGAGCCTGTGAACGCGAAGCCCCCCGCACCCTGCGTTGCCATGGACGTTGGCTCGAGCGTGTGGGATTCGGCAGCCCCCGAGAACACCACGCCAGAGGAGAAAGGATGGGCAAAGTTTACAGACTTCCAACCATTCTGTTGGTAAGAGGGGCACACGTTCTTTCCGTTTCATCATAACTTTACAATGAAACAGTATCTGAAGTACGGTTTGAAGAAAGACATTGACTGTAACCTTTTCTTCCTCCCTTCCCCTTGCCACCCCTTTTAGTTTTTAATAACGTCTGAGTATTCTGGATCAGGGCTTCCTACTTCCCTCTGCCTTCCAGTGCTTCTAACTGGTGGTAGCACTCGTGTCTTCTGATACAGGAATATACTTTACATAGCATCACTGCTGCTACATTAGGAGTATAAAATAAGTAAATGAGTAAGTTTTTTAGAAGTTACAGGCCCTAATGATTTCTTCTCTCGGGGATATTTGGAAGCACAACCAAGATATCTGTACTTCATTCTCAAGACTTTCCCCCTCTACTTTAGCTCAGAGTCAGGTCCACGGTGCAGTTCTCCCGTCGACACCGAGAGCAACGATTCAGATGGAAACCTGAAGCAGAGTCAAGACAAGAACTGTAAGTGAGACTGTTATAAGACAAAACCGATGTATTATTTAAGCTGTTTGAAATTCTGCGGAGTGTCTACTAGGGAGAACTTCCCTCCAGTGTCATCTACCTTACCTACCTGAAGGCTCTCTTTCGTACAGAGATCAACCTATTAAAATAGTAACTCAGAAATCCTGAGTGCTTGTTGGGATAATACTATTCAGTGAGAAAAGGACGGAGTTTAAGTTACTAAGAGTTGATGTCGCAGAGACATTTCATTTATAAACTGTTCAAAATTCCTGTTCTAACTGAATGCTTGATTATAAAATTACTTGCCCAAAATTAAAAAGATCAGGTAAGCTATATTGTTGGTACTTGTGCCGAGCCAGTTGGTTAGCTTCAGGCTGATTTCTTTCCCTCCTCCTTTCTGAACAAGGAAAAATAACATTTAACAAAGGGCTTTTATGGAACTAAATTAAACTTTTGTCTGTAGTAACCATTGAACGGTGGATAATACTGGAAGGGGTAGCACGGTACCTTTCTCTGCCACATGTGTTTTCTCATACACTCTCCCAGTGGATTTGGAGCCTCAGTTCAGTCGAGCTCAGGGCAGCCGAGGTGGCCGCTTTACGCATGCACGTTGGTTAAATCTGCCCAGGTAGTGATCTTCAGGCAGGCACGGTGCGTTACATCGAGTTGTGTGAGCAGGTACCAGCTTTGGGAAGAAGAACACTTGCTGAGACTGCAGTGCTGCTTTGCCACTTTCGAGAGAGATTTTCCTTGCCTGTGGAATGGAAACCAGTGAACACTTCAGAAAGTATAGCTGCCTAAATTATGCCACAGCCAGTTCCCAGAGCTAGGTCACAGTCAGCAGCGACCCCAGGGGCTGCCGTAATCCTCCGTTCAGTTACCACCCTTCAACAGGTGAAGACAATAGTCTCCTCTGCTCTTTGTATTAAACACAGGCGTGAGGTGGCAGGTGGAGAGCAATGGTTTGTGAGGTTATTTTTTTTTCCTTACTTGCAAAAATAATATTGCACACTATATGATCTGCACAGAATATCATCTCAAAATTCGCAATAGTTGTAATCACTCCATTTCACACCGTCCTGCTTACTCAGGGTCATATCTGGAGAGTTACTCCTATGGTTTTGTTCATTTTGTGATGTGAATTACTTACTTTTCTTAGTCAGCGCTGCCTCTCCCTGTGTTTGGAACGTCTGTGTCACGAGGAAAGCGCCACTGGTGGCCTCAGACAGCAGCTCCTCTGGAGGCTCCGACAGCGATGAGGAGGAGGACAAAGCTGATATCGTCACAGAAACCATCAGCACAGGCTCGGGCCAGGAAACCATCAAGCTGACCATGGATGCTAAAAACGAGAAGGCTGTTTTCACCAGGTGCGAAAGGAATCTCCTGGGCTGGGGTCCTGCTTTGCCCGGGGTTTAATCTGTGTGTGGATGGGTTTAAGGTGTTACTTCCCCTTCCAAACGTTCGGTGGGAGGATGTCTTACAGCTTTCTTGTCACAGGGGTTTGTTTTAAGAAAATATTTATAATGGGTTTATTTTAAGAGTCGTTTGTGGCTCATTTTAGCCTCTGAGCCATGTCACGGAAGCATCGCCTGGCTGGCTGGCTGGCTGCACAAGAGATCCAGGGCCAGGCTCAGGGCAGAGATGTCAGGGCAGATCACACAGAAGAGTTGTGCAAAACCTCACACGATGGCAAGTGCAAGGTCTGACATGGAATCAGCGTACAGCCTCACAGGGGGAAGATTTAAATGTCTCAAGCTATCATTTCCCCCTCATTGTCAAAGCAGTACATTATAGACAATAAATGGTTAAAAAACCGCAAAATGCCAGAAGAAGATACGGCAGATCCCAAGATTTGTTAGCTCTTGGGGCAGCAGTTTGGTTGGAATTGCATGTGCTTGAATCTGGTCTGCTCTTATCATTTGAGAGGGAAACTTGCTTTTCAAAACAGTAAGCATCTAGTTCACTTTGGTGCATCCAGAAATATTACCCAATTTAAGATATTTGGGTTTCTTCCCTCATGTTCCTTACAAGTATGTAGGGTATGATTTACCTAATCAGAGTCACTGTATTTTATGCATCTGACTCGGGAACAGGTGTTTACTTTTTATAATGTTGTGGTGATGTGACTTTTCTGGGTAGTCCACGTGAGCTGCTTGGCATGTGTACACATGCCAGCAAATAGCTACTAGGAGTTAAAAAGCAGTGCCTCAGAAAACAAGTGGGATTATAGAACTAGGTAAAATTCCAGGACGTTTGGTCAGGCAACTCTGAATTGAGGTTTTAATAACGTGACTGGTTTTTATTTTTGATGTCCACCTCAAATGGCCTTTACTCTTCATACTTGAAATGAGTGAGATGCCTGAGATTGCTTGCAGTGCGTGCATCTGAAGAGCTGTTCTGCTACCTAGAGTTAGTTTGTGTGTGTAGGGATGGCATGGCCAAGCAGGCTGGCTTCACGAGGACTGCCAGAATGAAAGAACGCTGCCTGCCATGCTGAAAGCAGCATCTCCTGTTCCGGTCTTCAGAGGACTTGAATTACAGCTAATTAAATCCATTGGCATGTGTATCTAAACCAAACTGTGCTCCAGATGTTTTTCCTCTTGGAATGCATGGTGTTTGTGAGTAGAGTAGCAGGATGCATGTGACTGCCTGGATTCACAGTAGCAGTGTGAATCGTGTTTGGCATGTTCTTATGTCTTCCACTTCTTTCCTAGCAGGTGGGGGAAGGTTTTTTCTGATTTGGCTGGTTAAATGATGTGGGCTATGCTGCTGTTTCAGGCGGTGTAATTTCGAATGTGTTTTTCCCTCCAAATAAGTGTGGATATCTCAAGCACTTAGGGACGAGGCTTCCAGAACCTGCTTGGTTTTGCTTGACTGCAGTTCTACAAAACTAATTCCATTTTGGTACAGAAAGTAAATACTTGAATAACCACAGTCTCCACTTTAAAGGTGTTTGTAGCTTTACACAACTATAACTGTAGCCAAAAAATCAAAATAGAAGCTGTGGGAAGACAGAAGCCTGTTACATAGATGGTGATGGCAGCTGCTCCAGATCTGTTTAGTCTCCAGGTTTCTCCCAGTGTATGAATCGCTGTATTGACCAGTGATGATAATGGAAACCTCCTGGTATCCTCAACTCTCAAACCTTCTGTTGGAAGAGACGCAGTTAAACTCAAACGGCCATTTCTTACTATGTCCCCTTAGTGATTCCAAGGAAACGAACTGTACTAAAAGTTTAAGAGTTTTTTAGATGGAATATGGGGTTCTTGATGACTTTCTCCAAGCACTTCTGAGAAGTGCTAAGCTTTCACCAAGCCACATTCCTGTTTCTGTAGGAACAGGTCTCCCCTCTCCTTTTTCCCTCTCCCTGCGATCCTGGGAGATGGCTAATGCTCCTTGGAGCTACACGAGGACTCTGTAGATCCTACTGTTGCTAGGGCCGTGAAAGCTCCAGAAGTTACAGTGCTTGCCTCTAATACCCTCTGTGATCATCTTCCCAACTGCTGGTGCTTCTCTGCCTGCCCATGCTGCCCAAAATGTAAACCCTGGAAAGTCAACGGTTTGTCCTTGCATGGCTTAGTAGAATGTCCCTCATGGCAGCTCTGCTTAAACCGCACCTAAGAATATTGGCCACCTTAAACATCATACAAAAGAAGGTGTTTCAGATGTATTTAGCTAACTCCTCTACTTTAAATGTGTTTAGCTAACGTCTTCCCCATATCTAATTCTATATGGTAGTTTCTTGGGAAAAAAATAAGTAGGAATGCAGAAGTTCTCTGACTAAAGAGCTTCCAGTATTGCCAAATCCTGCTCTTTGGTAACTTCAGAATATGCGTGTTAGGCTTGAGAAGGATGCTTTTTACGGTGTATTGAATCTTCTGCTTTTTTGTATATTGATCTGAATTTTATGTGGAAAATGCCGTGACTGTTCGGTGACTGTTCTCTGAAGTAGCTTTTAAAATGTTCCTGCATGTCCTCCTGGCAGGAACACTGCTTGAGGATATGGTTGCAAAGTTAATGACTTGTCTTTTTTTTCAGCAAACTTTACTGTTTTCTTTTTCTTCCTTTCTTTGCTTTCTTTCTATTTCTGCCTCTTGCTGCCTTTCTCTCTTGCTGTGGGTATTGCTCAGAGTATTTAGACCTGCAGTCAGAGGGTATGTATGACCGTGACCTTCTCAGGGTTCCAAACATCCACCTGACAAGTAGTTTCTCCCTTTAGTTACTTCACACTGGGCTGGAAAAAGAGTTGTTGGACCGTTGGACTGGGAAAGCTCATCTTTTCACTATCAGTTAAAACAAATCCTAGACATTATATTTCAAAAACCTGAATTTGAGGTTGTGTATAGTCCTCTGTGAAAGTATGCGCACAGTCAGCATAGCCATTGGCGAACCATTAAAAAGCAAATACAGTGTTTAGGTGTTTCATGCATCCTGTCCTTGAGCTTCTGCCATCCCACCTGTTTGTGAGCTGTTTCTGCAAATAGGATTTTTTTAATTATTATTTCGAAAGGAAAGTCCGTGCTCTGGTCAAGACGACTGTAGGAAAGCCTCGCTGGCTGCGTTTGCTAGCGCACACGCTCCTGGGGCTGCTGCCCGCGCAGGTGGGGTGGTGGTCAAGTCTCTGGAGCCTTTCTTGCAGCAGCGCTAACAAATAGCTTACTGTATGCTGTAATACGCCATCAAATAATGGTTGCTGTGCTTTCCAAAGGCTATTTTTTTTTACTAAATACTTTTTTTTTTCCCCCAATGTTTTCTTTCTGTTTTAAATTGTGAGTTTTTACTAATTATTTTCTAGAATTCATCCATTTAAATGAATTTTCCCAGTTGCTGTGCAAGCTAACAAGGCTTTGCTGTAATTTCTGGATGAGATCAGTGACAAAAAGAGAAATAAGCACGTCTCATAACTGTTTCATTGGAAGAGGAGTATGGTACAGCGAACGTGGAGACTTTCATATCTAGAACAGAGAGTTACCCGATGAACAGCAACCCGTCCTGACTTCCCGAGCAGGAGGTTCAGGGGATGTAGCTCAGCGTGAACCTGCAGTCTCCAGAGACTAAAGGCTTTCGGAATTGTAAGCTGTAGCTGTAATTACAACACGCGCTTGCTCAACTTACCATTTTAATAATTAACAATGCCATTTTAACAAACTTTTGAAAGTTTTCTGCCTCTTTCGTAAGTGGGCGAGTACGTATTGCATTTATCTCGCAGTACGTGCTATCAGGCTGTACTTTTTGCCAGAAAAATGTCATAATAGTCAAGCTGTTAATGAGTGGTCGGTGAGGCACGGCCCGTGCCAGTGTTTGACCGGTCGAGCGTTCTGGAAGCTGTTCAGAGCAAGCGCAAGCTGTGGAGGCCTCGGAGATCTCTGCAAGGCTTTGCCGAAGCTGGAGAAGCGATCGGTTAAGTCGGCAGGTGAGATGTGAGGGCTCTGCAGCGGCGTTAGCCCAGGCAGCTCCGCGCTGCTTGCGTTTCTCGATCTGTGCATAGCACAACAAACAGTCATGAGACTTGCGTTTAATGGGGAAAGCAGAATAATGGATGCAAAAGTGTATGCAATGGAAGCAGTACTTTTTGTGGGAAATGGCTCGCATTTCCGTGTCTGTGTGCTTAATTTTTAATTGTATGCTATTAACCCGAGCTTTTGCATTTCTTCTTTATGATTTCAAAAGCTAGCTGAAGTATTTCGCTGCTGAACTGTTCAAACAGGGTTTCTAAGCAGCTTCTTAAAAGATGAGCTCCACTTAAAAATAATAATTAAAAAATCCAGCTTTTGCTCTGTGTGGTGAGAGTGGGCTTGGGATATTTGTAACTTTTCATTTCTCTTTCAGTTTATTAACTTTACCTGAAATGCTTTTTTCCCCTTTAATCTTTTCTTTTCCTTTCTTTTCTTTTCTTTTTTTTTTTCTTTTTTTTTGAATGGTTGAATACGTTTACTGTCCCCTTCTCCCTGGTGCCTCCTCACCCGACTAGCTTGGATAAGCAGCTGAAAAAGAAAGGTTAGAGGGGAGGCTGGAATCCACCTGAAAATAGCGTTTGCTGCCTGTTAAAAACAAATACAGTTCTTCTGGGTCTGTATGATGCCAACTTGCATTTGGGACTTTCTTCAGCTTTGGAGGCAGACGCTGTAGGCGCTGCAGCAGCAGTTCCCTTAGAACTGAGGTGAAAATGAGACAACAATTTCTGCATTTTGCAGAAATTTCTGCAATTTCTGCCGTACAGTTTCTATAACATCACTGTAAAAGTCTCCTCCCTGTGCGGGGGTCCAGGCACTGGCTGTTACTGAGCAAGCAGCTTCGGTGCAGCCCCTGCTTACACGCAGTAGAGAAAATAATCCTCCAGTTTCCCAAGCTGAGTGGAGTGACGTTGTCACAGTGGATGTTTTGAGCTCTCCCGTTTTGGGATACGTTTTTCTTTTCTGTGCCTGCCGACTGCTCATCCTGCATGACGTTCGGATTCGCTGTTGCACGTGACGAGCATGAAACATCAGCACGAGACGTGGTTGTCTTGCTTGGATCTCCTTTTGCTGCCTAACTGCGAAGAGTCGCTGGAATGCTTTGACCAGATGATTAGGGGAAACGAGCGTGCTGTGGGAATTGGGGCATGGAGCATGACGCCACCAGTTTTGTAAAATTTGGCTGCGTATCGGTGTACATGTATGCAGAAAGAAACATAAAGTGACTAATCTGAGGTCCCATTTCACCAGAAAACTTTTCCAGTTGAAGGTGAACACTTAGCGCAATAATTGGCATAGATGGGATTGTCTAAGCTGACCGAAGTGTTGGCCTTTTAATGGAAGATTGCATGTGAATTTGGAAGCCAGACCTCCCATGTTGTGTGACTTTGTCTAATTGACAGCCTACAAACAATTCTGCAGTGTTTTGAGAAGCGTGAGCGTAGCATGGCTGCCCTTGCATCTCTTACTTCCCGTCTTGTGCTTGGTTGTTGCAGAGCCTGGTTTTTAAGGACTTGCTTGTGAGCTCAGCATGAGACTTGTATTTAGGTACGCTTTTTATACGCGTCTTGTTTCTCTGTTTATTGTACCACTGTTTTTCCTAGTGTGTCTTCACGTTTTTTGTTGTCTATGATACTAATTGTTTACCAAAGAGACTAGAGGATATCTAAAGTGTATCCCAGGAGCCACAGTAGTGAGCTTCAGAGGTGGGTAGAATTGAACTCTAAGGCTGTTTCATTCAGTATCAGATCCTTCTTTCCTGAAATACATAAAGCTCTTGGACCACCTGAACTCTTTACAGACCCTTTGGCAGTGAGATGTAGCTCAGTATTGCACGTAGTGTTGCGAAGAGCTGCGTTAGGTGTTGTAACACGTGGATTTCCATGTGGCACTACAGTTAGGGTCAGCTTGGCTTATTTGATCCACCAGCAACGCTGTTGTAGCTTAATTTGTCTTGCTAGGTCCGAGAGGCTCTCAATAAACAGACTGGTGGAAAGTCAGGGAGGGAGCATGATGTATTTTGCAGTAGTAGTGTCAAAACGGGCGTTATAAAGAAATTTGCATAATGAAACTGGGCAAGAGAGCGTTCCAAAAAATCATGATGCTGAAGTATTTTCTCTGTGAAGCTGGTGGAAATCTACAGGAAGAACTGAATTCTTATCAAAAGTGAAGTGAACTCCTCACATCATCTTCTCTATAAATAAAACAGCATGTAACTATTTTAACAGGGTATCAGTTTTGATATGGAATTATGACAATTTCAGTAATTATGAAGTGTGAACTTTGTTGAATCCTGTTTTTCTGAGAAGAAATTGCACTTCGAGGAAAACAGTTGTATTGTTAGCTTGGGGAAGCTTTGTGTTGAACAACCGTTCTGTAGCACCCAAGGTCTGGGATGAGGATATACAGTATTTCTCATTTGCATCTATTTATTACATGTAGTAGAAGCTGAGAACGTCACGCTGTCTTTATGGCAGATTTTTCTAAGAAGTTGCCGTAGTTGAAACTCGTTAGTTGAGAGGGCTGCAAGTTCTCAGCAGCATGTGAAAAGCACATCTCCGCAGAGCAGTCACAGGAGGGCAGGGTGAGCAGCTCCCGTTCCCCGCACGGCTCGTCCCTCTCGGGCTTCGCAGAAGGTGAACCCTTCCCCAGAGGCAGCTGGAAGCCCACGTTCACTTTCTCAAGTCCCTCGCCCGAAGCGATGTGTGTGCATTGGGAGAGGTCACTGGGCGCCGCCTTGAAACCAGATGTCCGACTGTCACGGCTTTCCGTGCCTGCCTGCTCTTC